AGACCCATATGTTACGCTACCTAACTTACTACATGATTTGAAATTGTTCCAGTATTTGGCCAATTTTCAAATTAACTTCAATAAATCCCAGGCACTCAATGTTTCCCTAACCCAAGATACAGTCAGACAAACTTTCCTTTCGCATGGCAGTCGAGGCCATCACATACTTAGGAATCCAATTACCAACTCACCTTACAGAATTCTATGCCAAAAACTTTTTACCCATTTTACGTAGTATCACCAGAGATCTACAGACATGGGACAAACCATTTTTCTCTTGGTTTGGCAGAGTAGCTATTCTGAAGATGAACGTGCTTCCCAGACTACTATACCTGATGCAAACAATTCCAATCAAATTGCCCAATTCCTTCTTTAAGTCCTATAAAAGATTATGTACCTCTTTTCTATGGTGTAATAAATGTTCCAGAATCGGTTTTGAACAACTTACCATGCCTAAGACGAGCGGAGGTATTGGACTCAATAATCCTAATTAAAAGGTATTCGCTAATAACAAACTTATACAAAAGGTGTATATCATCATCCAAAAAAACATTTAGTGTTTTAAATAAATAATTATAGTGTCCAAACATAAATTAGTGTCCAAAAAAAAAAATATATATATATATATATTAGTGTCCAAAAAAAAAATATATATCTTCAGTGACTTGAACCAATTGTGAAAAATCCACCACCAAAGGAGATTAAATGAACTCACCAGAGCTAATGGCTGGTCAGATTATAAACCAGCAACAGCGCTTGTGCTCTGGGAGCAATGAACCCGATGTCCAGATAGATATGGTGATGTTTCAGACACTTCCTGATAATAATAATCACAAACAAACAACTTTGCAGCCCAAGCTCTTATGATGAACTTCTCCACTCTTTCTCATATCTCCATGAGAGCATACAGTACACTCAGGGACAAAAAAGAGAACATAATGTGTGCAATACGTTTTTTTCATTTATCTCTTTAATAAAAAAGGTATAAGGAAACTCACAAACAAGGTGTCCAACAGACACCAGCTTCAACAGCGCTGTTGCTGGTTTATAATCTGACCAGCCATTAGCTCTGGTGAGTTCATTTAATCTCCTTTGGTGGTGGATTTTTCACAATTGGTTCAAGTCACTGAAGATATATATATATTTTTTTGGACACTAATATATATATTTTTTTTTTTGGACACTAATTTATGTTTGGACACTATAATTATTTATTTAAAACACTAAATGTTTTTTTGGATGATGATATACACCTTTTGTATAAGTTTGTTATTAGCGCATACCTTTTAATTAGGATTATTGTTGCCAAAATTTATTTTGGGTGGGATATGCTGCTGACACTTTGGTGTTTTTTGTAAATGGCGCTTTTTTCTTTTTTAATTTGGTATGGAGGTATTGGACTGCCTGATATCACCCATTACTACAGAGCCTGCCCCACGGCAAGAATAGTAGATTGGTCTTCGAACCGCAACCGTAAGGCTTGGGTTAATTTGGAAGCTGCATTTTCCGCTCGTCACTTCCCCTTGGCTAAAAAAGTCCCACATCCCATTGGAGTTCAGGGATCATTTGATAAATCAGAAAACAAGTTTTTCTTCAACCCCTGGTCCACTCACTCCTATCAAAATGAACCCAGACTTCCCCCCTTGTATGTCTTGTGCCTTTCTCGCCGGGTCTAGCCCCCCAGACAATTTGAACCTGCATCAACTCTTCAAAGATGGGGTATTCTTACTCAGAGACCACCTTTTGAACAAATAGCCATCCCTAACCCTGACGACGTGGATGTACAGACAGCTCCACCACTTTATACATAGCTCATCACACCTCAAAGATTATACTAGACCACTCACCCCATTTGAAAAACTTTGCTCAACAGACTCTCCCCAGAGACATGTCGTATCTAAGCTCTACACATGCCTCGAAAACATCATTGAGCTTCCATCTAGGAAAGCTTGCAAGGCCTGGAGCTCTGACTTACAACTCCAACAATTCTTACTCCACCACTCCACACTTCCATTTAGGATGTACCGTAAATCACTCTCCATGCACATGGTAAAAGCGGTTAAACAATGTATCCCAGTCCACTGGCGCTCCACACATGTTCCCACTATTCGAGAATGGTTTGCTATTATCAACAAAATTGAGGAAATGGAGGAATTGATATCTGTAGCAAAAGACCATCCCGAGAGATTCAGGAAAACATGGGCTTGTTGGAGTCATTTCAAAACCACCACCTATCACCTATTATTGCATGAACAGCCTACACCCCCTGATTAAATAATCAGACATAATGATATTTCAAATGACACCATATCTACCAGTGACACATTGAATGCATATTTAGATGGATTGAGACTCAACATCATAACCTACCTTTCAGGTTCTTGACCCACATATTGGCCCATTAAATGATCTTACACATATTAAATCATAAGCTATATAGCTATCTTTCTGGCTCGTATGAAACAAGTTGATTATTTTATCTGCAGCTACCCATTCTAACATCCCCGCTTCTCCTTACCCACTCTCCCCTTCACCCACCCCCCCTTTTCTTTTTACCTCACATTCCCCCCTACTACTTCACTTTGCATCTCTTCTTCTATTTGTTTACCTCTCTGATTTCTCCTTACTTCACACCTTTTGTAGGATTTCATCATTCATATATCCCCAACAAAATATAGCTTTTTATTCTCTCATACAGGTGTGACTAATCTCACGTAGATCACACTCTCCCGAAATGGGCACACAAATCATCATGGACACATCATCATGTGCTTTTTTTTCCCAGCACTTAATTTCCCTTTAACATAAGGGCTTACAAGTAGATAGGTCAGTACTTAATATACCTATAACGATTTACCTATTACACCCTTTATATCTGCTGGCTTGCTGTACTCCTCTGATATAAAGTTATATCTCACCTCAACTTGTAATACAATTCAAACCCATAGCCTGTCTGCGTAACGGGATGCTGCATATTGTGTCTATGTTCGGACTGTAACCCATATTTGTACGTACATTGATCTGCCTTAACTTTTCCAATAAAAAATTATTTTTGGGAAAAAAAAAAACTCTAGGCAACGGATTGGTATAGAACCACCAAGCTTGAGGGTGTATATAGAATATAAGTTTAAATGTAGACTTCAAACAATGTGAAATACACATGTAAAAAATGTAGTCAGAAGGGGGAATATTGTAGGCATTTTTTAAATCTGAAATAGATTTGGGTTTGTTGCCGATAAGAAGGCTTTCCACCCAGTGTATCCCATCCTCATGCCAGGTCTTGTTCTACAAGTGAGGAATGAGAATGTCTAGTGAAGAAAGTGGGATTGTGACATCATTTTTGTGTTTATTCTAAACTGATCCCTCGTCAAGTCAGCAGAGCTGTTCTATTAATTGGAGGGAAGAGTGGAAGGTATAAAGGGGACCAGAGATCAGCTACGGGAAATGACTTCAGGTTCGTTGTTTGTACAAGTGTGGATTCTATATCTGTCCATAGGACATCTGAAGAAGGTTGACACCAGTATTTTAGCTGGCATAAAAATAATCCCTAATATCTATGAAGACAATTTCTCCACCCATTTTGTGTTTAATAAGGTGTAAATAGGGACATCTTGTTCTCTTCCTTTGTCAAATGAAGTTTTTGAGAAAGGCTGTTAGGGAAAGAAGATATTCAGGTTTGGTAGGGATGGGAAGGGTCCTAAAGATACACCAATTTTGTGGAACTATCGGCATCTTAAAACCTGCTAGTCTACTCAGCCATGTGAGTTTGCAGTGGGAGAATTGTTGCGTTTCTCTAGTCAATTTTGTGATATGGGATTTGTAATTATCATCTGCCAAGTTGGAGGATGAGGTTGTTAAGATGATTCCTAAATATGGAATGCCTATGTACTTGCAAGAACAAGGTAGCTATTCAGTGAGGTAACTCTGTGCAAATCTCTGGATACTCAAATCCAAAATAACGATTTAGAAAAATTAACCTCGTAGTACGAAACAGTGTCAAAGGTGTTCAACACTTTATGGACATTCATAAGGGTTTCAGTGGGTCAGTTAGAAGCAAAATAACATCATCACCAAATAGGTTGCTGGCGTGGGAATGGTTACATGAATGAAATCAAGTAATAGAGGCATTAGATTGGATTCATTTGGCTAGTGGTTCAACCATTAGGTTGAAAATAGATGGAGAGAGGGGATATCCTTGTCAGGTTCCATTGGAAATGGTGAAGGATTGGGACAATATGCTGGAGGAATAGACCCTAGTGGATGATGTGGAGTATAAAGCCATGATAGCAGAAAAAATATTTCCAGAAAATCTAAATTTCTCTAGAAACCATCTCATATACAAGCAATGTACTCAATTGAACACCTTCTCTGTGTCTATAGATAAGAGCAGAGAAAGCATGCGATCAGTCTCAGTGTGATACTGTATAATAAATTTAGGATGTGTCTAGTAGCATTGGAAGCTTGTCTGCCTTTGGTGAAGCTCTTTTGATCGGGCTTGATCAAAAGTGGGGAGAATATCGAGAAGGTGTTTTGCTAACAATTTGGCAAACACTTTAACATTGGTATTCAAAAATTAGATTAGTCTGAAGTTGACTGGAGTGACAGGATCTTTACCAGGTTTAGAAAGAGTAAGTGTGTTTGATGCCAACATCTCTGTGGGGAATGATGCAGTGGATGTCGCTGCTGTAAAAAATTGTATCATATAGGGGACTAAAACATCTGAATAACATTTATAATATTCATTGGTGAATCCTTCTGGGCTTGGGGATTTACTGTTAGGTAATGTATTGATCATGGAGATAATTTCAGTGGGCGTAAATTGAGAGTTTAGAAACTCATGCTGAGCAGATGGCAGAGATGTGAGATTGATTTGTTGTAAAAAAAAATGTGAATATCTTCTGTAGATTGTTGGTGGGTAATTGGGTCATTTTTTAAGTTATATAGGGCACTGCAGTAGTTTGCAAAAGTGTCTGCTATGTGCTGCAAATTGTGCAATTCTTGTTTTGTGAACAGGTGATAGATAAATGGTAATCGCGATCTAGAGTTGTGAGATTGAAGATGCTTCAGTCCAGCACTCATTTGTAGTATCTTCTGCTCTCTTGTTCCTGTGTCACCTCCTCCCATGCTCTCCTCCAGGACTTCTCCTGAACTTCTCCCATCCTATTTAACTCCCTACCCCAATCTGTCCAGCTGTCTCCTAATCTATCCACCTTTAGACGATCCCTGAAAACCTTTCTCTTTAAAGAAGTCTATCCTGCTTCTACCTAGTAAACCACCATTTATTTCCTCCATCAGCTCATCCCCCCACAGCTATTACCTTTTGTATCACTTAACCCTTCCTCTATATTGTAAGCTCTAATGAACAGTGCCCTCTGTTTCCTTTTGTACCAGATTGTATTGTAACTGTAATGTCTACCTTCATTTTGTAAAGCGCTGCGCAAACTGTTGGCGCTATATAAATCCTGTATAATAATAAATAATAATAAAGTATCATCCCACATATATAGACTTTATGAGCGTTCCACACTGGAAAGCCCAGCTCAGGGGAAATGTTAGTGGCAAAATAATCGTGGAAATGTTGGGAGAGCAACTGTCTGTTGCTAGGATTTTGAATAGCCGCATTGTTACTTTGCCAAATATACAATGGAGGAAAATCATCCTTCTCCTTCACCATTAGTGAAATCATTTCATGCTCAGATCATGTGATGTTGTGGATGGAGGAGGAGGGAGCCTGCTGAAGCAGCCATTTGTCAAAAAAAAGTAATTTTTTCTGGAATAAGAACGGTGTCTAGAAAAAAAGAAAGCATGAACCCACCATGTTGGTACCTCCACACATCATAAAGTTCTTCAGTATGAAAAAGGTTCTCTAAGGTGGGATGATGATGATTGGTCACTGAGGTGGAGTCAAGGGAGGCATTAACTACAATGTTGAAATCCCCACAAACTAGCAGTCGGCCAGATTTCACCTTGAATTTCTTTTGGAATAGGTTTTTGACAAACCTCAGTTGATGAGAGTTCGCTACGTAGATGTTGACCAATGTGTAAGGGATGGGAATTCAGAAAGCAAGTCAGAAAAGTGTATCTACCATGAAGATCAGTGGTGCATTCTTAGAATTGGAATGAAACAGTGCTTCTGATTGCTAGTAGAACCCCTTTATTCTTCTAAGGAGTGCACACTAGGAATACATAGGGATAAGCTGAGTGGGTGCAGGTGGGTGTGGCCTCCATTTGAAATTCAGATATTAACTGGAAGTGTTTTTAAATAATTGTAAAGAGATTTAAATAATTTTATTATTTTTGTTGTGTGCATACTTGACCATCGGAGGGGTATTTAAAGTCCCATTACCTGTACCCAGGGGAGGACTGACCATTTGAGCACTCGGGCTCCGCCCCAGGGCCCAGGGTCAGTAGGGGGCCCCATGAGATGCCCCTGGTACCTTTCATAGGCTTTTTTGGTGGGTGTGGTTTGAGTGTGTGGGTGAGGACACAGGGGCTCCATGATCCCCTATTGCCCGGGGGCCCCATGACTTGTCAGTCCGCCCCTGGCTGTACCCATTTCTTTCCACATAGAATGGGTGGTTAAGGCCTTTCAGCGATAAGAACATTAAGTCCCATTTTATGTGCATAGGAAAGAATTTGGTGTTGATCTCACTGAAAGCCATAGGAGAGAGATGAAGGATGAAGCAGACGGAGTATAGTTAAGTATCAGAAGACAAAATGTTGTCAAAGAGTTAATATATTCAGATGTTGCCAAGAACAAAGAATGAACACAGTCCAACAACAAATTCAGGCTCAACAGGACCTGTAGAGACTCCTTGAAGTTAGGAAGTTCTGACTTGGAGCACGTAACTAGAGTAGACAAAACTGGAAAAAATAAAAAGGAGAGGCCTTCAGGTTCTGTAGAAGGTCTTGAGCAGACTGAACTGCTAAACATGCTTGATGTCAAGACAAAGTGAGCATACAGTATATCTTACCCCACCGGGAATGCTAAAAGCACTAAACAGCAAATGGATGTAGTGACCCAGCCCTATGATTTTCAGGTGAAGTGCCATGGACAAACTGCATACCAATGCTGAGCTGATACAGATGGCAGGTGAGAGTAGCGTTCAGTTTGGGGGTGGTTCTGGTATGATGTTCAATTTCCTTAGAAGACTGAGACCCTCAAGAGAAACCACATAGGTGCTGCAGCCACGATGAGTAATGTCCAACTTTGCTGAGTATTGTGATTCCTCAAAGCTTTTGTAGGGGAAATAAGATCCTTGCATTGTTGGGATGAAAATTGAGATTAATCTGGGAGTAGTTGGAGATTGGGAATGTGGAGCTCTCGTTTCAGGCATCCATCTTGTTGCATGATAGGCACGCCCCCCCCATAATTTTTTTCTTTTGAGATAAAGATTTTACATAAAAAAATCAAAGCTGACCATTGTAAGCACCCCATTGGTGTTACATGGTTTGTCTCGACATTCTAATCGCCACATTTGCTGGAAAGTTTGGTCTTTTAAAGGTATTTGGAAGATAACAGACTTGCTGGCCAGATCACCAGGTAAAAATAAAGTACCAAAAGCCTGAATAAGGAAAACGAATGTAGCCACCACATATGAGAATTTGTAAACTTCATTTTTGTTTTGGGGTTTTAATACAGTTTTACCTTTTATATCATGAATGTGCATGGTGCCATTGCTGACCTTGATTCCACTGAGAACATTTATTGCATTGAAAAAAAATTAAAGTATTAGTTGCATAAAATTTTTATTGGATGTCATTCAAAAACAAGATTGATGCAATTCGTAGGGACATCGCCACTGCTCACACTTCCACCCCACCTAGCATCCCTCACACTAAAACCCGCTCAACACTCCACTCCTTTGACCTCGCCACTGCCCAGACTCCCACCCCACCTAGCATTCCTCACACTAAAACCCCCTCAACACTCCACTCCTTCGAACTCGCTACCCCTGAAGAGGTCACTAAGGTCTTCTCTGAAGCCTGCCTCACCACCTGCCCCCTTGACCCTGTCCCCTCACAACTCCTTCGATCACCCTCTTCCTCCATCCTATGCTCCCTCACACACATCTTTAATCTTTCCCTCTCTACTGGCGCATTCCCCTCCCCTCTAAAACACGCGCACATCATTCTCATACTTAAAAAACCCTCCCTGGATCCCACTGACCTGAACAAACTTAGACCCATCTCTCTGCTGCTATTTACATCTAAACTCCTAGAGCGCTTAGTCTATAATTGCCTGAGTTCCCACCTCACTGACAATAACCTCCTTGATCCCCTACAGTCTGGCTTCCGCCGCCTACACTCCACCGAATCTGCCCTACTCAAACTCACCAACCTGCTAACCGCCAAAGCTAATGGCCACTATTCAGTGCTCCTACTCCTCGACCTCTGCGACTTTCAACACGGTTGACCACCCCCTCCTCCTCAAAAAACTACACTCTCTTGGCATCAGAGACTCCGCTCTCTCCTGGCTCTCTTCCTATCTATCACAGTGCTCCTTCAGTGTTACCTATAACGCTGCCACCTACTCTTCACTCCCCCTCTCTGTTGGGAGTCCCCCAAGGTTCTGTCCTCCGGCCCCTTTTCTTCTCCATCTACACCTCCTCCCTTGGCCAATTGATACACTCTCACGGCTTCAACTACCATCTCTATGCCGACGAAACGCAAATCTATCTCTCTACCCCCCACCTCACCCCTTCAGTCTCCACCCATATCACAAGCCTCCTGAGTGACATATCGGATTGGATGTCACTCCACTTCCTCAAACTAAATCTTTCCAAAACTGAGCTCCTAGTTTTCCCCCCAGCCCACACCCCCCCCCCCCGACTTCTCCATCAAGACCAATAACACCACCATCAGTCCCTCCACCCAAAACAAAGTACTAGGTGTCATCCTAGACTCCAATCTGTCCTTCCAGCCCCAGGCCCATTCGCTGACAAACTCATGTAGACTTCACCTCCCCAATATCTCCAAAATACGTCCATTCCTAACCCCTGAAACCACTAAGCAACTCATTCACTCCCTCATTATATCACGCCTCGATTACTGTAACTCCCTCCTCATCGGCTTACCTCACCGCAGGCTATCCCCGCTTCAGTCTATCTTGAATGCTGCGGCCAGACTCATCCACCTTACTAACCGCTCCGTATCCGCCACCCCTCTCTGCCAATCCCTCCACTGGTTTCCAATTGCCCAACGGATAAAATTCAAAATGCTAACATTGACGTATAAAGCTGTTCATAATACTGCCCCAAACTACATCACCGATCTGGTATCCAAATACCACCCAAAACGTACTCTCCGCTCCTCACAAGACCTCTTACTCTCTAGTTCCTTGGTCTCCTCCTCCCATGCCCATCTCCAGGACTTCTCCAGGGATTCCCCCATCCTCTGGAACTCCCTACCCCAATCCATCAGACTATCACCTACTCTGCTCACCTTTAGGCGCACTCTGAAAACCTATCTCTTCAGGAAAGCCTACCCCGCCCTCAGCTAATTACTGAACTTCCCCACTCTTCCTACCACTCCATCCCCCACAGCTATTTCCTCCTGTACCACTATCCCCTCCCTCCTAGATTGTAAGCTCCAAGGAGCAGGGCCCTCGAACCCCTCCTGTATTGAATAGTATTGTTACTGTACTGTCTCGTGTATTGTCTCCCATTATAATGTACAGCGCTGAGCAAACTGTTGGCACTATATAAATCCTGTATAATAATAATAATAATAATTCTAAGAAAGCAAGTCTGTTGAACAAAAAGTATATCACACCTAAGAATGTGAGAAGCTCCCCAGAAGGAGAAGCAACGCTGTTATGAATCAGATTGATTCATAACAGCTTTGCTAGCATTGTGATCATGTGATCTCATAGCGATCACATGATCACCGAGTCCAGATTCCCAAGATTCACATTCTGTGTCTGATGTCCATTTTGCTGTGCCCTGTGTCGTGGTGCACAGTGCCCCTCTGTGTTAGCACAGTCAGTGCGGCGTACGTTGCTCTGCCTGTACACGCCACCCGTCCACACTACAAGTTCTGTAGGCGGTGGGCAAGTGGGTACAATTTTTTTTTTTTACAGTAACTTTCCTATTAGCATTAGTGATGGGCCGAACACCTCTCCCCCCCGTTCGGTTTTCAATTGAACATTCAAACCTACCGAAAGTTCAACCGTGAACTTCGAACAGGGACAATTGAGCAGTATCTTATCGATCCTGAACCATACCAGGCCACATGCCCTCAACATCGGGGGGTGCTTTAGGGCAGGGTTGTCTTTGACAAGTCCTTTGACAAGTAGTTCCAATATCAATCACGATGCATGCTGCCACCGCCGACCCGAAAAAAAGAAAAAAAAAAATCAGCTCCGCCCTCGATGCTGGCTCTCACCATCTGACAGCAATGACAGTTCTTAAATAGGGTGATGATGTCACAAGGGGGTGGGATCACTCCCACTTGTGATGCCATCATGCCCTGTGATTGGCCAAAGCATTGCACCTGACCTGTGATCAGGTGCAATGATTTGGCCACTCACAATGCACTGTCAGGGCACAATGCATTGTGGGCAGCGGCAGGCGAATAGCCCACCGAACACCCGTACTATTCATGTTTTCACGGAACTTGATCTTGATCTAGGTTAATGTGAGCGTCAATGGTCAGAGTCAAAGGTCAGGGTCAAGGATTTATGGTCTGTATGTTTTAGGTAGGAATAAAAAACGTATTTATTTTTTGTCAAGGTGTTTAGGTACGTTAAAAAAACACACACAGTATTGTTTATTGATCCTACTACTGGTACAAACAACAAATATGATACACACATATAGTATTGCCACAAAGTCGGGAGAAGGAGATTTTTTTTTTTTTTTTTGGGTCATGGTAATGGCAAGAAATATACCGGGGTCCAAAGGACTGAGACACAGAAATTTCTGCTGCTGTACAGGAACCCAAACCTGGACAGAGAGCTTGCCGTGAAAGCCTACAGTACAGTCAGGCAAATCCAGAGAGGGACATTTCTTAAGGAAAGGGACTTTTAGAACATCAGACAGCCAAATACATGGGACCAGGCCTACTACCTGCCAGGAGTGGCGAGCTGAACTACACTTCCTAAACTTTTACTGCACACAGTTAACACTACAGAGACTGCTCTTATCTAGCAGCTCATTTGTCATTCATCATCCACATTCCTAAAGGGATGGTGTACCACCAACAGAAGGGCCCTACAGAAAGCTGGCTGCTATTAATCAATAAGATGCTTTGTACTTTAGTCAACTGCTGGGGTACCCATTATTAGGCACTGTGCAAACTCAGGTTGCACCCAAGATCACTATTACCATATTAGCTGATTTGGACCCTGTCAGCTACTGGCTACATCAGTTGAACTTGATTTAACATTTCAGTTAAATCCCCTACTGTAGGCCAGGGTTCACTTATCTAGTTTTTGCAGCTTTGAAAGTGTAATTGTACCACTTCAATACTGTGGACACATTTTTACCCCTTCATGTCCAGACCAATTTTCAGATTTTTAGCACGGTCACATTTTGAATGGCAATTACT